AAAATAGTGAAAAAATCGTGAGGTTGCTACTATTTGCTTACTTTATTCCAGAAAATAGTCAAAAAATATTGAGATTGTTACAGTTTGTCAAATAATTGTGAAGTTGGTGAATTGGAGTCGTCAACGATAATCAATTTTCAACAAGTTGTACATCAATTCGGTAGATTCGTTCTAACTCTTAAGTCTTAATATTATAGTTTTGTTTGTTTTATTTATTTGCTATTACTTGATTAATTATGATGTCTTTCTTAAGAAATATTTTTGGTAAAAGTAAGGATAAGGAAAAATTCAAGTTTGGCGTATCTAGTGGTACTGATGTTCCTCATCCCCCTGCCCTCGGCTCCCCGAACCAAATCCCATACCCATCCTACACCTGCTATTCTTGATATCGATAATAGTTTATTACAATTTAGCGACACTGAATTTTGCCATAATATTGCACCCGGTGAACTTTTAGACCATGAATTAATGAATGCTTTCTATTCCAATAATTATAATACTATTGATGAAAAAGATGATGAGGAAATTGATATCGATAAAACTCAACCGGAAGATGATACACCCGCTAGTCGTGCTCCTGAAAATGACCCAACTCGTGATAACGCTGCTAATCCAAACGATGACCCATATGATACTCTCGTTACTGCGCCTACTTTTTCTAGAGAACCTACCAAACGGCTGGAAACATCTCCTGTTTGGCCATTTTTTACGCAACTAATTCGAAAAAATAAGGCTAAGTGTAAAACTTGTGGTATGGAATTAGCTTTTAAATATGTGGGATCGCGGTCAGGGACGGGATCTTTGGCTAAACACATAAAAAAATACCCTAAAGATAACGTCAGATATCAACGTCTGAAAGCTTTGGACGAGGGGAAAAGTGTACCTAGTCCTAGTCAGGCTAACCCTAGTACCGGCTCAGATCAATTTCAATCAGGAATTAACACTGTTACCGTTAGTATTTTATATTATGATCCAAGAAAAGATCGGGAAGAATTGGCAAAATTGGTAACTGTTATGTGCTTACCCTATTGTTTTCCTTCTGACCCTGCGTTTGTGCATTCTATTAGAAAGAAAAATCAATCCTACTAATAAAGGTTTTCCTCGCACAACCGTAAAGTGCGATATTTATAAATATAAGCACGAATTTGAATAATATTTGCGCTATTTATTTACTCATATAAATTATCGTATTGCTATGACAATTTATTGGTAGAAGTAACAACGATTGTGATTACTTGATTGTTACATGTAATTGGATTGATAGGAATGGATAATGCAAAAGCACATAATTGCTTATAGAATAATTGCTTCACGGCACACAAGGCAACTGCTACCACAGTTACGGATATTTGCAGATATTTTTGCATTAGTGATAAAATAATATTGGTTTCAATGAATAATGCTACTAATAACACAAATGCTATCGACTTTCTTACCACTACACTAAATCCTACATTTAGTAATATTTTGTATGTTAGATGTATTTGTCATATTTACCATTTAATTGTGGGCGATGGTACGAGAATTTTAAATATTCAAATTGAAAAGGTTAAAATAACTCTTAGCTTGCTTTTTCATTCAAATCATAGAAGTAAACTTAGAGAATATTTTTAAAGATGCAATGATTGTGGTCTGAGAGAAAGAAAGGTTCTTAAACCTTGTCCAACTAGATGTAATTACATGTATGAAAGTTTTGTTGTTGCATATAAATATAGAAACCTCATAAACTCACGTTTAATGCATATGTAAGTGATGATGACGATTACCTTACGAATGGAGGTTGGGCTAATATTAAAATGCTTGTTGATTTTTTAGAAAAATTTCATATTGTTACAAAAGAATTTTCGGGGCAATATTATCCTACTATTTCTAATTGTTTAGTTTATATTGCATGACTTGCAAATTTTTTTGCTTATTTTTCACACGAAAGGGAAATTTATCAACTTGCTATTGATTCTACGGGAACAAAGTTTAAAAAATATTTTTTCTCTATTCCCCATATTTATGGTGTTGCTTCTTTGTTAAATCCTTATATGAAATTAGGAGGTCCTCAATTTTGGTATGAAACTGTTTATAATGGTTTAGCACTTGAAGATGATGAGTTGCCTAAACTTCCGGAAGCAATAGCCTCAATTAGAACAAATGCTGAAACTATTTATAATGCTTATCAAGTTGCATTAAATCATGCTAGAACAAATGTTCCAACTCCCTCTTCTTCTGATTCTCAATCTTCTAAAAGAATTGTGGGAGTAAAAGGACTTAGTGTTTGAGCGGGGTTTAGGGGTTCTTTTAGTTCTAGCAGTAATGATTTTTCACAACTAAATGAGCTTGAAGTTTATTTGTCGCAGCAACTTGAGGAAGTGAATCCCGACGGAATATTTTGCAATGGTAGAAGGACAAAGAAAAATACTTTCCGGTTCTTTCAAGGATGGCCGAGATATTTTAATTATTCAAGCTTCAACAGTGGTGTCAGAAAGCGCTTTCAGTCAAGCAAGACTTCAATTCGGTGATCATAGACAGTCTATGAGGGATAGGTTGGAAAAATAGTACTTCTCAGAGATTGGATCCATTCGTAAAGAAGAAATTTTGGACTTGCTGAATCACAACCAGAGGTAGACGAAGCTTACAAAGAAATGCTAGCTGAACTTGCTGAGGATGTTGCTTCGCCCGACAATAGAAGCGGCGATGAACAAGTTACTTTTTAGCCACCACCAAAGGAACTTCCTCCGAACCTTGAAGGATTTATGAAGTTTGTAAGAGATAGCATGTAACTTGTATGAACACAAATTAGTATGTATTATGTAACTTGTATTTTGGCACTTCTTGGTTAGTTCCTTTTTCTTCTCAATGGTGGTATTAGCACCTTGTTGTGCTCATTCCATATAGGGGAGGAAGACTAAGAAAGATATTGCCATGTGTTTTTATTGATACAATAAAATTACAAGGCATTGCTTTGAATATTTTTTTACAATATTTTTGTCTTTAAATTTGAATTAAAAAATTAGGTCACAATTCTATAATAAAATTACAAGGAATTGCCTTAGATTTTTGTTAACATCTTTTTGTCTCTAAATTCTGTTTAATTTTTTTTTTTAATTATTGCTTAGCCGTTGGGCTCATTTAGCCCGTTTGGACCGCAGGCCCGGCCCTTTTATTCCGGGACCATAAGTTCGTGGGCCCGCTCCCGGGCCGGTTCCTACAAAAAGCACATTTAGCCCGGACCGTTTAGCCTGTTTGTTTAGAGCCCGCGAACGTGGCCCGCGAGACCGACCCGTTTAGCCTGTTTAGGCCCGTCCGGCCAACTTGCCACCCTTGTATCAACCTTTGTTTTTTATTTGAGGTACTCATATTGACAGCACAAATTGACAAATTGACACCCTTTAACAAACACTAATAAGAAGAGTACCAACATAGAAATTGGATACAAAACAGACAGTGGCGCATTTGCACAGTTAGCCTTTTTTGAGGCAAGAATTTAAATTTATGTCCTAGTTAGCCAAGTAGTCTAAATTTGTCTCCAAATAGAAAAATTCATTCAACTACTTTAAAGACGAATTTTAGTTTACTGAGCTGATACGAACAAAATTTAAAGAGTGACCTCAGAAAACTCCATAAAATGCTAATATTTCCTACGGTAAAAATTGAAACTAAGACATCATATTTTTAACACATCTAGCTTCACTTGATAACCTCCATTATGGAAGAATGTGCCAAAAAATCCTGATTTAAGTAGAAAAGGACACCCATTCTCTTCCTTTATCCATTTTTTCATAATTAACCAAAATTTACCTGATTTCAATTCATTTCCATGCATCATTAATGAAACTTGGTGTTATTCTGCGTATCCGAACTCATTTCTTGGTAAAATAGCAAAATGGAAAAGGGCTAAAAATTACCCCTATTGTTTAATAAATGGTTTAAATTCACGCTCCGTCCACCATTTGGTCTAAAAATGCACACACGTTATTTTTGGACCAAAAGATGGACAGAGCGTGAATTTAAACCATTTGTTGAACGATAGGGATATTTTTCGCCCTTTGCCGATAGCAAAATACCAAATGCACTCTTAGTATTCAGAGAGGGGAAAGGGCCAAATTACCCCTATTATACAAAAATGATCAATTTTACCATTCGCTATATTTTTTACACAAAAATATCCTCAATATTAGCCAAGTAGCAAAAATACACTCCTCTTCCATTAGGACTGTCAAATATAAAAACTCAATTTAACATGAAACTGATATTTTGATGAGGCGAATAATACGTGACATGCCACCTCACCATCCCGACCCATTTTAATCCATCCCCTCCTTACCGTCCACCACCACTCCCACCGTGACCACCACCATTTTGTTTATGTAGGTTGAGAGATGAATTTTTGGTAACTACATTTGTCCGTTAGTGATGGTTTTTGGTTCTTTCACCTAATGTAGCCGAATGACCTGGTAATATGATCTAAAATCTACCGATTGAAACATCAACTCATTTCACTCTTCCTTCTTAAGAAGGAATTTAAAAATATAAAAGATAATGACCAAGTAAAACATGCTCGTAATTAAGTAAAAAAGGGAGAATATTATATCTAAACGACGAATACTTTGACCCCAATTCTCATACATATAAATGGTGCACATTTCCCTCTTAGTTGATTCTCTTGCAGTAGTTCGATCAATACAAGTACAATATTACAGTTGATTATTATCTTATCTAAGCTTAAGATAAATCGAAATTGAATTTTAGGACTTTCACATCAAACTGGTATCTCTTATTTGTATTGGAACTTTATAAATATCTTAATATAAGGTCTCCAGTTCCTTCTATATCATCTGAGAAAATTGTGCAGTTCTGTTGTATGTAGATCGCGAGCAATTTAATGAGTAACTTAAACATTTTCAAATGCAAAGAATTAAAATGGTGGCGGAAGTGGTGTTGCTGACATGACAATTGGTAGAAGTAGAGGGAGGGGGGTTGCTGTGTGACAGAAAGAACATGATTCTAACTTTAAAACATGTAACCCAGCTCTGACTCTAAGAAATAAGAACGTTCTTTACACAATATTTTATCCTCTAATATTCATAATTTGTAAATTCAATCCATCTTTTTTGACCAAATAAAATTCTAATATACATGTGATCAGAAATTGCTCTACAAAATGGGTTATAAATGGAAAATCCTCTTTGGCGACCTACTCATCTGGTGCATCAGTTTCAGTTCCCCCCTGCCGAATAATTCGACATTTAGGAACCATTTTTTCCAGCATAGATGTTCCTTTGAAGGTAATCATCTGCCAACAGGTCTTTTTGTAGATGACAAGCTACAGAAAAAAAAGGGAACCCGAACCACTTAGAACTCCAAAAAAAAAAAAAAAAAGACGACCAATAACAGATGCAGCAGAGGCTGGGTCACATGCAAAATATACCTGGTCTGGTGGTATCTCTTTGAATCCGAATTTCGTCGTCCATATTGACATTGCTTCCACAGCAGAAGGTAGTACAAATCTTCTTACATTTAAAAATGCAAGCAATTTTTCTATGCACGAGAGCAGCAACTGAAAGTAACCCTGTAAACATTCAAAGCATATGTTCTAAAACTTAGACATTTCAAGAACAATAGCTGAAGACATCACCCATAAGATGTATTTACTATTTACTATCTCTAATTACTTGGCAGGCCCTAACACGGACTAAGCAAGTATCATAAGAAGCATCATCAAAATTCACAAACTAGTCAACAGGAAGATGCTAGATCATTATGTTCCCAATCAATGTTCTCCACCGTGGCAAAAATATGGATTGGGGTAGAGTGGGTGTTTAAGTGACACCAGGTTTGGGTCTAAATGAATCATAGTTTACCAAATTAGACTCCATCACGACCATCTTGAAGAGAAAAGACCTGATCAGTGAAGACTCTGTGGCCTGTAGTCCAGCAGAAGTCAAACTTCTGCAGTTGGCCAGTAAATTTTAGAGGCTGCTGTGCATCTTCCAATCCACCAGGAGTAATAAAATCAAGCAGGAAAATTGTCTAAAAGAAATGATCCAGTCAGTCAACCAACCATTTTTCATACATTAAGCAACTACTGATCTTGAAAGCCTAAATCCGTATAAATAAGGCAATACATTCAAATTTGGGCCTTCCGGTAATGCAACTATATGTAACCCAATCAAATACTGAATGGACTTTAAGGAGTATTTGACAAATGTAAAGCAGTGAAAGTTGAGAGAAAGTCAATTTGATAGAAAATAAGTGGGGCCTTTTTTGGCGAACAGTTTCAAAGCTTTACCTTGCCTTGGCTATCAATACGTGTTGCCACTAGAGGAAGCTCTGCCATATCCGGACCAAAAATACGGAGGATCCCAGCTGATACTACTATTGAGCTGCAACAATAACCAAATAGCATGTTAAGTTGTGTAATCAAAATGTGCTTAAACAAGTTAAATGAAACAAACAGCAACACTTCTCTTACTTTACAGTCAATATAGCACAGTACATGCCCCCAAAGTCTTGGCCCCTAATATTCCTTCTGCAAAGAAGAACAAATATCTTAGATAGCAGCAATGGCGAAATAAATGAAAATCCACTTCACCCTGCATAACAACCAAAAAAAGCTTACCCATAGACCATAGATGGAATGAAATCACGTCCAGTTGCCGAATCAACAATAGGATCAAAGCAATCCTGAAAAGTCAATGGTTATGCTACTGATGCTAACTTTTTCCGCTCATTTATCATTAAAAAAAATTACAATCTATTTTATGAAATATAACTCAAAGTAACAATATGGAACTAGGAAAAACAAGCTCAGAGATATAGAGATAAAGACAGTAGAGATTTTTATTTCTTCTTCAATTGTGTGTATTTTCCTATCTATTAATGCCTTTATATAGGCATGAAAAGTGAAGAAAAATATGTCATTGAATATGTAATTAAGCATTTGAGAGGAAGATCATGGAGGAGGTTATGGGAGTTACAATCATAACTCCATAATTATTAGAGTATTGGGAGTTATGGAAATAATGGAGAAGAGTAGACATCCACCATAATTTAATTTTCTTATAACACTCCCCCTTTGATGTCCATAGATGATGTGCCTCGTTAGAACCTTATTAGGAAAAACTCCTATGAAAAAAAAAATCCTAGTGAAGGAAAAAGAGAACACATGTTTAGAAATACGTCTTTTGGTTGCCTCGTTAAAAACCTTACAAGGAAAACCAGTGGGACAAAACCTTGTAAGGAAAAAAGAGTACAACGCGTATTTAACTCCCCCTTATGAGAGCATCAATTCACATCCTTGAACCTTTACATCCCAATCTTGTACACTAGTTTCTTAAAGGTTGACGTCAGTAGAGATTTGGTGAACAAATTAGCTAAGGGTGGCAAGTGGGCCGGTTAGGCCCGGGCCCGCCCCAGGCCCGCGAGCCCATATGGGTAGTGGGCCTAAACGGGCCTACCCGTTTAAGCCCGGGACCAGGGGGCTTGAGGCCCAAGTGGGCCGGTTAAATGAAGAAGCCCGTTAGGACCGGGACCGTTTGGGCCCGCAACCGGGTCCTAATGGGCCGGTTCAACCGGTCCTAAACGGGCCCAATGGCTACTTTTTTAAAAAAAATCCAAAAATCTTTTTTAGCCGTTGCAACATTTAAAAAAGGGTCGTTGGCCTGCAAAAATAGCCGTTTGGGCTTTCTAAAATAGCCATTTAACCCTCCCCCAACTTTGTTTTAACCTAAACTTTTTATAATTACACTTTTTCCCTATTTTCAACTATAAATACCCCCTCGTTCTTTCATTTTTCTCACAAAATCATCAATCTCTCTCATTTCTCAAACTCAAATTGAAGTATTCTCTTCAAGTCTTCACTCATCTCTCATTTCTCAAACTCAAATTCTTAATTCAAGTTAAATCATGCCCGGTGATTCTAGATTGCACCCATTTGTTTTGGAACACTTTAATGTGGTAGAAGAAAATGAAGAAGTTTACATAATAAAGTGCAAGAACTGTGGTCGAGTCTACACTCGTCGTCCAATGTTGGAGGGCACAGGCTGTTTAAGGAGGCATATAAAGAGTTGTCTTGCGCACTCTCCAGACATTCGTATTTAAGAATTTAAGTTGATTTGAGACAATTTGTGTTATTTTAAAATTATTAGATGTATTATGCTTAATGTTTTAGTTTGTTAGATTAATTTGAAGTATTATGTTGAAGGCATTGAACTTTAATTTGAAGTATTAAATGTAAACTTCAATTTGCAACTTTGATACATTGATACTTTAATTATGCTAATGTTATATCGAAATTCGAATATAGCTTATATACTATACACTTAGTATATCTATAATACTATATATACAATCTTATATAAGGGAATATACTATATAAGGCAATTTCTTGTAAATTATCTAAATTATATATATATATATATAATTTACATGAAGTTGGATAAAAAAAAAATTTAAAAAATAGGCCAGGCCCACTTAGGCCCATACATATAAGCTATTTATATAGTATATAATATATATATATATATAAGCTGTATAATTTACAAGAAATTGCCTTAGATAAAAACAATTAAAAATAGGCCAGGCTCACTTAGGCCCGTTTGGGCCAGGGCCCGACCCACTAAGCTCGGGACCATTAGTTCATTGTCCCGGTTCGGTTACATCCAAAAGCCCACGAAGCCCGGGACTGTTTAAGCCCGGCCCGCGAAGCCCGGGCCCACATAGAACCTGTCCGTTTAGGACCGGCCCGCGAGGCCCGTTTAGGACCGGGCCCGGACCGTTTGCCACCCATAAAATCAGCCATATTATCACTTGAACGAATCTGTTGCACATTGATATCACCATTCTTTTGAAGGTCATGTGTGAAAAATAACTTCGGTGAAATGTACTTTGTCCTATCTCCTTTTATGAATCCTCCCTTCAATTGGGTTATGCATGCTGCATTGTCTTCGTACACAATTATGTGTAGTTTGTCACACTTCAAACCACATTTGTCTCGAATAAAATGTATTATAGACCTCAACCAAACACATTCTCGACTTGCTTCATAAATAGCAATTATCTCAGCATGATTAGAAGAAGTAGCCACAATTGATTGCTTAGTCGATCGCCAAGATATGGCAGTGCCTCCACATGTAAACACATAGCATGTTTGAGATCGAGCCTTGTGCGGGTCAGATAAATACCCAACATCGGCATAACCAACAAGATCGGGATTGCAATCATTGCCATAGAATAAGGCCATATCGGTAGTCCCTTTTAGACACTGCAATATGTGTTAAATTCCATTCCAATGTCTACTTGTAGGAGCAGAGCTATATCTTGCTAAGACATTAACTGAAAAAGTTATGTCAGGCCTTGTAGTGTTAGCAAAGATACATTAGTGCACCAATTGCACTAAGATATGGTACTTCAGGACCAAGAAGCTCTTCATTCTTTTCTTGAGGTCGAAACGAGTCCTTATTCACATCAAGTGATCGAACAACCATCAGAGTACTTAATGGATGTGCTACATCCATGTCAAACCTTTTCAATACCTTTTCTATGTAGGCAGATTGATGAACAAAAATCTCGTTTGCCAAATGTTCAATTTGCGAACCGAGACATAATTTTGTCTTTCCGAAATCTTTCTATAAATAATCAATTGCCTTTTGGAGTTCTGTAGGAATTCCAATAAGGTTTATGTCATCAACATATACGGCAAGTATAACAAACTCCGATGTTGTTTTCTTTATAAAAACACGTGGACAAAATGGCATCATTTATATAACCTCCTTTAATAAATATTTACTAATGCGGTTATACCGCATTCTTCCTGATTGCTTTACTATACAAAGATCTTTGCAATTTGATTAAAAACATTTTCCGAGACTTTGAATTATGTGCGTCAGGCATTTTAAATCCCTCGGGAATATTTATGTATATCTCATTATCAAGTGAACCATGAAGGTAGGCTGTAACCATATCCATCAAAATGCATGTCAAGCTTTTCATGGACAGCAAAACTAATGAGATAACGGAACGTTATAGCATCCATAACAGGAGAATACGTCTCTTCATAATCGACACCGGGCCTTTGTGAAAATCCTTGTGCAACAAGGCGTGCCTTATATCTTTGTACCTCATTTTTCTCATTCCTTTTACGTACAAAGACCCATTTATAGCCAGCAGGCTTAACACCATTAGGTGTTTGGACTACAGGCCCAAAAACTTCACGTTTCGCAAGTGAATCCAACTCAGATTGGATTGCTTCTTGCCATTTTGGCCAATCACGTCTTTGTCGACATTCTCCAACAGATTGAGGTACAAGATCCTCATTATCTTGCATAATGCTAGATGCAACATTGTATGCAAAGACATAATCTACCACTATATTCAATCGATTCAAATTGTCTCAATATCGATTATATTTATTGATAGTTCCTTATTTTCTTGAGTCTCAGGCTCATTAATTTACTCATGAATCTCAGGATTGGTTAAATCATAGGTTCTTTATGAGACTCTTTCGTAGTGTCATCTTGATCATTTATTTTCCTTTTTCTAGGATTTCGATCCTTAGACCCCAATGGTCTGCCAAGTTTTAGGCATGCTTTTGACTCATTAGCTATGACACTAGAAGATTGTCCAACATGGACATCAATACGGATTGGAACATTCTCTACAGGGATATGTGATTTTCGTTATCCTTTTCAGATCCGTAAATGCATGCATTTGATTTGCTATTTTCTGCAAATGGATAATCTTTTGCACCTCCTTTTCACAAATAGAGGCACGTGGATCAAGATGAGACAATGATGTATTTTTCCACAAAATTTCCCGTTTGGTTTCACCAATTTCGCCCCCTACTTTTGGGAAAAATGCTTCATCGAATCGACAATCTGCAAATCGAGCAGTGAACAAATCTCCCGTTAATGTTTCAAGGTAGAGAATAATGGAGGGCGATTCAAATCCAACATATATTCCTAACCTTTTTTGGGGACCCATCTTGGTGCGATATGCGGTGCTACAGGCACATATACTGCGCATCCAAAAATTCTTAAATGGGATATATTAGGTTCATGACCCAAAACTAATTGCAACGGGGAATATTTATGATAATTTGTCGGTCGGAGACGAATTGGCATTGCTGCATGCAAAATGGCATGACCCCAAACTGAAGTGGGTAACCTTATTTTCAGGAGTAACGGTCTTGCTATCAATTGCAGATTATCGGGAAATTGTGTCCGTAATCGGATTATTTGTGCCATTAATTTTGTAAATGTCAGGTTGCGAGATGACAATAGGCATACATGAGACCATCTAGAAGATGGATCTATTAAGACCATAAAATAACTAAACGACCCACTAGGTGGGTGAATAGGTCCACAAATATCCTCTTGTATACGTTCCAAAAACGTAGGGGCTCAATCCCAACCTTTGTTGGTGATGGTTTAATAATTAACTTGCCTTGATAACAAGAAGTGCAAGAAAATTCATTATTTAAAAGAATCTTTAAATTCTTTAATGGATGCCCATTCGAGTTTTCTATAATTCGTCTCATCATAATTGATCCGGGATGTCCCAATCGATCATGCCAAAGTACAAAAGTATTGGAATTAGTAACCTTTCGGTTTACGATAGAATGTGCCTCAATTGCACCAATTCTTGTCCAATACAGGCCACAAGATAAAGATAGGAACTTCTCAATAACCTTTTTCTGGCCAGAGACATTCTTGGTAACGATGAGATATTCGAGATTATACTATGATATAAGAAAATTAAATTATGGTGGATGTCTACTCTTCTCCATAACTCCAAATACTCTAATAATTATGGAGTTATGATTGTAACTCCATAACCTCCTCCATGATCTTCCTCTCAAATGCTTAATAACATATTCAATGACATATTTTTCTTCACTTTTCACGCCTATATAAAGGCCTTGTAATAGATAGAAAAATATACACAATTGAAGAAGAAATAAAAATTTCCTCTCTATATCTCTTAGCATGTTTTTCCATATTCCATATTGTTACTTTGAGTTATATTTTATAGAACGTTATCAGCACGAGACTCCTACCGTCTTAAGAAGATCTTTGAGAAGACTAAGGTATAATTTTTCTCAAATTTATTTTATGACTGATATTATGAAAAGAAAGTTCGTTGCCCTTGAAATTTCGTGCAAGAACTATATGATATGAGTGTTGGATGCTGAAATCCATTTAGATGCAATAGGTCTTGGAGACGCCATTAAAGATAAAAAATAAAGCATCTACCCCAGACTGTGCTAAGGCCTTGATTTTCTTGCGCCATCACCTTGATGAAAGGTTGAAAATAGAATATCTCGCAGTCAAAGATCCACTTGTTTTGTGGAATGGCTTAAAGGAAAGATATGAGAACTTAAAGTTAGCCACTCTTCCACAAGCACGATATGATTGGGCTCATCTGAGGCTCCAAGACTTTAAGTCTATTTCTGAATATAATTCTGCGATGTTCAGAATTACTTCTAAATTGAAACTCTGTGGAGATAATATCTGTGACTATGATATGCTTGAAAAAACGTTCACAACATTTTATGCCTCCAATATGGTCTTGCAAACAACAGTACCGAGAGAGGTTTCAAGAAGTACTCTCAGTTGATTTCTCTTCTACTTGTGGCTAAACGAAACAACGAATTGCTTATGAGAAATCATGAAAATAAACCCACTGGGTCTACACCATTGCCTAAAGTGGATGAGGTGTATTCCCATTACGGAAAAGGGTCAAAAATATCCTTCTACTATTAAAAATTGTTTAAAGTTATCCTCCGTTATACTATTTGATAAATAATGCCCCTGCCGTGTTACTATTGACCGCATATACCCTCAGATTAACGGAGAGACCACGTGGAGGTCATTTAAGCCAACTGGAGTATTCGGGTAAGTTTTACCTGACCCATACCCGATATCCAAACCTAAAAATAAACACTTTCTTTATACCCCATTCCTTTTCATCTTCATCCCTAACCCCCCCCCCCCCCGTCCCACCCTCCCGGTCGCTCNTGTAAAAATCCCATCTTCTTCACAACATATTTACCACACACCCAATCATCTACTCCATCTTTTTCCAGTCTTCTTTTTCTCTTTCTTGCTTTTCTTCTTCCTATATCACTTTCTCTCCAAAAACTCATCAGATCTCCATAATTTCAAGAGCAAGAAATCACGATTCTAATATCAAGCTACAAGCAAGGTGTCTAACAAGAAAATGATGGTACATACAGTTGGGTCTTTAGGCCGTCCCTTTGTAATTATAATTAATTAGGAGCTTATTAGCGTTTTTAGGAAGTTAAGAAAAGAGCTAACACCTTCTCATGGCTGTAGTTTCTTTAATAATATTTCAATTCAACTTGTAACTAGCCATGAGCCCATGACATCTCTCTTTCTCCACTTTTTACTTTGTCTCAAAGTATAATTATTGGTTGCAAAATTTTAATGCACAACTGATTAAGAGAATAGGGCATTTGATATGGTAGTTGTGAGATTCTGTTTTTGTGAATATTTAATGGAAGATTAGGTTGTTACTGTGATTTGTTGTGAACATGACGGGAGGTTTCTGGTGATAAAAATGGTTATTGAGATATTTTAACAATTAAGCATAATTAATTAGAGAAAAAATATAAGTAATAAATAAACCCTAAAAATAAACCTGAATGCTCAGACGGGTGAGTTACGTATTGTGTATTGGGTCGAGTAAGTTTACCCGGATGCTCCAGTTGGCTTAAATGGCCTCCACGTGGCTCTTCCGTTAACTTGAGGGTATATTTGATCAATAGTAACACGGTAGGGGTATTTTTGATCGAATAGTATAACGGAGGGTAATTTTAAATAATTTTCTATAGTAAAAGGGTATTTTTGACCCTTATCATGCTAAGCGTGAAAAAGGTTGTGGCCATGCTCATGGTCGTGGCCGTGGCGAAGGAAGAAATTGTCCTAGTGTTAATCATTCCCTAAAGAAAAATAACTTCCAAAAGTGGAAAGGGAAAGATGAGAAGCCAAACGCAAAGAGTTCGGAAACTGGATGCTATCATTGCGGTGGAAAAGGGCATTGGCAAATATCTGTCACATATCAAAACATTTGGTTGAGCTTTGTCAAGCATCTCTAAAGAATAAATGCCTTGAAGCTAATTTTGTCTATGACAATGAATTTGACATCACCCACTTGGATGTGGCAGATTTATTTTTAGCACCCTGATGGAAAAATAAACCACTTGATCGGTGATGGATCTGTGGTTAAAGATGATTGAGCACTTTGATTTTTATGTTTTCCTATTCGTAATATCTAATGAACAAACATCATGTAATTTTTATCGCGCTTAATAATAGTGCTTATATAATTCTTAAAAATATATGTATTTCCGAAAAGAAAAGAAAAAACTGAAGAGTCAATGTTTCACAAATTTCACAAACAAGAAGTAATATCTAATTAATTAGTGTCCTAGTCTTAGTGAAGTAGATATTAATTAGTGTCTCAGTGAGACTGGGACACTAATTAATTAGATATTACTTCTTTGTGAAATTTGTGAAACATTGACTCTTCAGGTTTTTTTTCTGAAATACATAAATTTTTAAGAACTACATAAGTAGTATTATTAAGCGCAACAAAAATTACATGATGTCTATTCATTAGATACGTTGCGAACGTTTTTTCAAGCATATCATAGTCACTGATATTATCTCCACAGAGTTTTAATTTAGAAGTAATTCTGAACATCGCAGAATTATATTCAGAAACAGACTTAAAGTCTTGGAGCCTCAGATACGCTCAATCATTTGGTGCTTGTGGAAGAGTGACCAACTTTAAGTTGTCATATCTTTCCTTTAAGCCATTCCACAAAACAAGTGGATCTTTGACTGTGAGATATTCTATTTTCAACCCTTCATCAAGGTGATGGCGCAAGAAAATCAAGGCATTAGCACAGTCTTGGGTAGATGCTTTATTTTTATCTTTAATGGCGTCTCCACGACCCATTGCATCTAAATGGATTTCAGCATCCAACACCCATATCATATAGTTCTTGCCCGAAATTTCAAGGGCAACGAACTTTCTTTTCATAATATCAGTCATAAAATAAATTTGAGAAAAATTATACCTTAGTCTTCTCGAAGATCTTCTTAAGACGGTAGGAGTCTCGTGCTGATAACGTTTTATGAAATATAACTCAAATTAACAATATGGAACAAGGAAAAACAAGCTAAGAGAGAAAGAGAGAAGAGATTTTTATTTCTTCTTCAATTGTGTGTATTTTCCTATCTATTAATGCCTTTATATAGGCATGAAAAGTGAAGAAAAATATGTCATTGAATATGTCATTAAGCATTTGAGAGGAAGATCATGGAGGAGGTTATGGAGTTACAATCATAACTCCATAACTATAAGAGTATTGGGAGTTATGGAAATAATGGAGAAGAGTACATCCACCATAATTTAATTTTCTTATAACAATCTACAAATAGTTGAAAAACACTTTTTAGGAAACAGAGCAAATCTGAAACAAACTAACCACAAATAATTGCAAAAATAAATATCATAAACCTCTATGAGCATACAAAATATTAAATCATCTTGGACTACAAAAACGGCAGGTAAAATTCCAAGAATGAAAGTTTACCATGAAATATTACTATGATAAGTCTGTTTCTCAGGATTATAGATTTCTTGAAGCACCAATTTTCATTTCTCAAAAATAATCTTAAATTTGGTCACATAAAATCACAAAAACAAAGTTAGAAAATGAAGAGCAGACATCTGAACTCTACACAGCAATCCATCCCGTCTCAGATAAGTTGGAGACTAAACAGTCTAAGTAACACCACACAGTGGACATGGTCATCATAGCCTCACTGAAAGTTTGAACAAACAAAATTCAGGGCTAGTGCTTACATGGAAGATTGAAACAGCTTCTGCTAGTAGCACTCTGGTTTCACGGGAAGTAATTTTGCCGCTTAGAAGTCTCCATCTCACATCAAGATCACCAACTGAATCCAAACTTTTGTCCTTTAGCTTCATTCTTACAGCACCCAGGCAAGATTCTGACAGCTTCTCATCTCCCGAGTTCAGCAACTTTTGCAGTGCAGAATAGATCCTCTTGCAATCCACACAACAGAACCATTTTCCTTTAGGCAACTCCTGCGATGCAATTTGCACCATATCTTAACACGAGAATCCAAATAATATAATTTTTAAAAAGAAAAGAGAGGGAAAAAAAGGGAATGAAACACAATAAAAAGGAGCAGGCATCCTGGACAAAGAAGAGACTTCCATGAAATAATCCTAAAACGCAAGTGGACTAACCTTTAAATCTGCTATCTTGCGTTTCTTCAAGCAGCCAACATGATATTCCTTCTCACACTGGATATGAAATGTGAGTAAACCATTTTAACCATTTACTTGGTTGAATAAGGCAGTTTTAAAGAATGTAGAGGAAATACCTGGTCACAGAGGATAACCGTGCGTGGACCAAATCCAGACTTGCTAAAATCATAACATCTGTGTATATACACTTCATCAGACTACAAAAGCTAAGACATTAGGCTTTGAACAACTTTACAAAGCAGACAACCACCTGCATAAAACACATGCTATAACTTCTGCCTCTTCTGGGTTCTTGACAGTACGAATGCAACGTTTAGTTATTTGCTCTATGGGATCAATACCAGAAATCCTCCCAGCAGCAACCGCGTTTGCATTGTGCTCCACAAACTTCTCCCTCTGAAACTTGTTTTCACAATATTTACAGTACCATTTACCACGGGGAACAGCTGACAATGATGCACACCCTGCAATAGACAATTGAAAACACATATCAATACCACTTAAATGGAATATTGAATCTTACCAACAAAGCAACCATAATTACTAAGTGGTGAAAGAAAAAGAAACAAAATAGAGGCAAATCTGAATTTTCTCAAAACTAATCCATAGCTATGTGCTGCTCATGTAAATAGAGACATGGAACCAATTGTGCAAAAGCACAGCTTATTTCTCATTATAAGTAAATCTATAGGATTAAGAGGACAACTATCAGAGCCTTATTTTTATTTTTTTCTATTTTTATAGGTGAAGTAATAGTCGCTTTTGACTTAATGGTTGTTTCTTCCTTATAAAAGGACCAACAAGAACTTACAGAAGCAGTCCACATTGCAAACTGGGAGAAAAAATTTCACCAGAAACACACAAGGCAAGTAAAAATAATTTTCAAGTTCAAGTTAATCAACTAGGCGTTAGGATAATCTTCCCAAGCGTTTGTACTGAATTACATCAATGTTTCAAATTTAATGTGTTGGGAATCATTAGACATAAAGTGGCTCTCATCTAAAACTAAAAGGTCCACTTCAATCAATTCATACTACTTAACGGCTCACTGCTGTAATCTTAGGCTCATTTGTTTATTTAAAGATAGTCTGAATCTCAATCATCCATAGTTAGCCTATTAAGTGTCTTAGTTTTTCTCTTTTTACAACTATATCCGTACACTTAAAATCATTAAATGTTATTCGCTTCAAGATTCATGTGATGTGACCTTTTACCACTACTTTATCCATTATCACTGCATAATCATTACCAGCCTTTTGCCACAGAGCAGCCAACCATCTACCTCCACCACAGCATAACCACTGCCCCAACCACCACGACCAACAATAATGAACGGCCAACCACCTCCACCACCAACTTCAACCCCACCTCCTTCGCATAACTACCTCCACCGGTAGCCACAACCATCAGCCATGCACCACCAGCTTTGGCCACCATCACACAATAACCACCAACCAGCAAAACCACCACAAGCAACCTTCACCACCATCACGACAACCACCTCAAAACCATGACCGTCGACCACCACCACCCCTGTTAGCTTTTAAAGTGTACTTTATAAAACAAACAGTTTTTACAACACCATGTAAATTAATATTTTCTCTAATATTTTGTGGATATATATTTAATTATTAGTTTATTTGAATTCCTTATTAATTAGCTTTAAATAAAAATATATTAATACTCCCTCTCCCATTTTATGCTAACACTTTTCTTTTTAGATTGTCCAAAAAGAAATGACACATTGCTCTCTTTTGGAAACTACTTAACCTTAGTATCTCGATTTTACCCAATGACATGACTTCTTGGAACTCACTGCCACTCGTTTAAAATGAAAAGACATGTGGAACTCTTACCATCACTTGTTTAAAAGGACACTTTTGGTACTTTACATATATTGGTCAAGTCTTCGTTAATTTCTTAAATCCCGTGCCCAATCAAACATCATCACATAAATTGGGGCAGAGCGAGTAAATGTTCGATGCCGAGGAAACATGATTTTCCAATGGTCAGATTTAGAAACAATACAATAATAATCAGATAAGAATTAGGAATGAAGTTATTCGAGACAAGGTGGGAGTGGCCTCTGTGGAGGCAAAGATGCGTGAGGCAAGGTTGAGATGGTTTGGGCATGTTAAGAGGAGAAGCGCAGACGGCAGGAGATGTGAGAGGTTGGCCTTAGGAGGTGACAGGAGGGGTAGAGGTAGGCCAAAGAAGTCTTGGGGAGAGGTGATCAGGCGGGATATGGCGCTACTTGAGCTAACCGAGGACATGACTCTAGATAGAAGGGTGTGAAGGTTGAAGATTAGGGTAGAAGGTTAGTAGGTAGTCGTGCATCTCCCTTTGTCTTCTCTAGCTCGATGGTATTAGCGCTAGTACGGTACCCTTTTATCCTTAGTTTGCTATATTCGCATGTCTCGTTTCGTTGTTACTTGCCATTGGTAATTCCGTAGTTTGCTAGCAGTACTTCGTTCATATTCTCGTTTGCTGCCTCGGAATTAGTTTTCTAAATATGTTATCTTGCTACTACTTGTTATCAGTACCCCTTTCATATTATTTGTTTCTATCTCCGATTTAGTTTTCTAATTATTGTTTTGCTAGTTGGCCTGGTGGCAATAGACTTGAGCCTTGGGGTTTGCTCCCTTTCAAGGTCTCAAGTTCGAAATCCACTGGGTGCAAACAATTTCTGAGGGCCATCGGACTGGGTAAAACCTGAACTAACCTTGGTGCACTTGCGGGAAACTCCTTGCCGAGGCCTGTGCACCCCCGGGATTAGTCAGTCTCTCTTAGAGACTCGGACACCCGGTGCAAATCAAAAAAAAAAAAAAAAAAAAATTACTTGCTATCAGGGCTTCTCTCACCTTCTTTAGCCGAGGGTCTATCGGAAACAATATCTCTGCCCTTCCAGGGTAGGGGTAAGGTTGCGTACATCCTACCCTCCCCAGACCCCACTTGTGGGACCACACTGGGTGGTTGTTGTTGTTGTTGTTGTTGTTCTTGTACAATAATAACCAGATAATGTATTCAAACTCAAGCATCTTACTCTTAATAAAAACAAACGAGGCTTCGGTCGAAATCCTTATTCATCATCAAACTCTTCTAAAATCTTCTACACAACTGAAGGAGATAGTTCAGATGAGACCGGTGCAGAGCATCACAGAATGTGAACCCTGATCAAAGTTGAAATTGTTTCGGGCATATTATCTTGCTCTACCATATGTTTATACTATTTCCTCTCTACTACCATTCTGTCCTCCCAAAATGTGATGAGCACGCTAAGCTTGAACAAAAACTAAGGAGTTGTGGGCCTACTACAAACTAAACAATCCTCGAAGTTAGACAGTAACTTCCACAATTAGAGATATATGGTTTCTTTTCTTTATCTCTTTTTGCTTATCTTGCTCATGCCTCTAGTTTTTTTTCCCTCTTTTGGGGGAGTGTAATGTGGGGTGAGGATGGGGCTTGGTGCTCTAATGCCCAACAACAAATCTATGAGCACTTGTCGTAACCTGACCCCACACACCCAAAATGTAAAAGATTAAAAAACAAAACCAAAAAAAAAAAGAGCTAGACAATGCATGGAGGATGAAATAGAACTTGCTGGTTTTAATCATCAATTAGAAAGGACAAAAAACCACATGCACAAAAGAAAGTATCTTGTGGAAATATTAAGGCCCTACAACTTTAACCTTTATGGAAGGCCCTTGGACATCCATCACAAAGCACCAGTTTTCCACCATCTGCGCATATGGTGCACAAGTCATCGCTGTCTGTGACAGAAGACTTACGACCTCTCAATAGGGATAAAGCAAATTCATGTAGAGACACCCCATTGGAAGTATATATGTATCCATAGCTGCAGAGACATGGTACAATGTCAAATATCTAAACTGGAAAGCATCAGAAAAACTAAGTTAAGAGCTAAAGAAGATAAATATTCCTTGAAAGACAATTAAACAGAAGAATGACACTGACGGTTTTTTGCGAGACGCCCAACCTGCATGAGCTTCAAATTGTGATGGACTAACCTAACCATGAGAGGAAGCTAATCAGTATGCCTTACATGACGTTTATGAAACTCTATGAGAAGAACCTCTGATTTTTTTTTTGTTTTGAAAAATTATGCAAGCTACAAGAAATGTACCTCACAATTGCAGCAAGAACAAAATATACCAGATCCCTGCTTATAACCAACGAGCAATTTCTACCAATGACAAATGAGCAAATCACAATTATAAAACACTTATAATATTTATATCTCAACTACTAAGGAAAAGGGTAGAAAAGAGAAGACTCGGTACCTTTCCACGAGAATAATAAGCTACTTCAGTCCCATCGGGCAGTCCACCTTCCTCAAAAACCAACCAATGCATCTTTTGATCCCTAAATGCAATGACGTAGAGTATAAGAAATTTGCTGACAGAAATTCAGAGTAAGCAAATGTCAAAGGAATGTACAAACTTTTTTGTGATTTTCCATTGGGTCCTAGAGTGCATTGAAACACCAAGAGGACCAACTTTCGAGGAATTTGAAGCTGCAATGGATTTCGACAATCTGAATTAAAGAATACAGGCACCATACAAGTGAGAGGTTATATATCAGATAAAAGAAGAAAAAAAAAGTGGCAATTAATTAGACAAATATTCACCAACTTTTTCGAGATCTTGCCCTGCATATTATCTCTGAATGAATTGCACATCGTGGCAGCTCCATTTGACTGTGGAGCAAAAGCTGGAGTGGATAACCTTGATGGTTCCGAATAGAAGTGCATAAGAAGAGAGAGATGGCAAACAAATGCATTTTACCAAGTAAAATTGATTTTCCAGACCAAAAACAAAGTGAAAATATCAGATAGAGAAACATTGAGTAATACAACACACTTGTTTGGTGTCTTCAACTGATCCTTCCTTCCTGAGATTATATGTGCCGAAGATATTCTGATGGACCTTTTCCTTGAATATATTTCCACAGCCCTTACAGCAATAATATAACAGCATTAATACATGTTTGCTAAACCATTTCGTCGCATTGAAAAGTTCGCAGGGTGCAAAATAAAGCAGAATTAGTCAACAGGAAAAGATACCAACTTTCTCTTTTTTCTTCCTCTACTTCTTTTTAGTGAAGTATCTGACATAGTTGAAGTTTCGGAGGAATTTGAGTTCGGAACAGGATCAAACATCCTAAGTTTGCAAAAGACAAGATTAGCAATGTCATAACAGCAAAAACAGAGAGTCAGCGACTACTGAGAGCTTCTGACTATACATACACAACTATACAAACCAATAAAAACAACAAAAAAAAAAAAATCAGTGTAATGTCTGTAATGTCACAAGTAGGGTCTGGGGGTAGTGCGTACGAGCCTTACCCCTACACTGCGAGGTAGAGAGGTTGTTTCTAATACACAACTATACAAACCAAAAAGCAATATAAATTGCCACATAACAATTCGTCAAAGGACATCAATTATTGCTTACATGAAGAAAAATCATAAAGTCAACTATCAAAAAGATCTCAATAGTAAAGAAACATGAGATGACAACAGAGTCCTTAGGTTAGTGTGATTAATATTCTTAAATCCATGCCACTCGTCCAAAATAATAACAAATAATTTTAAGTTCATGACAAGCATTCTCTTTCTGGGCATATATGATCTTTATAACCAAAAGGGAAAACGAGTTTGATTCCACTCATCATAAAAATAAATCCTGAAAACCAGATGAGGAAACAGAAGTACCTGCCTCACACCAAGTAGGTTTAATAGATCATCTTCCTACAAAATTTAGCCTTGCTTGGACCATTGAGAATGAGAACCTAAATTGCACTAAATAAGTACTCTCTCTGATTCATTTATGTTATTTACTTTCTTTTTCAGTCTGCTTCAAAAGTATGACTTTTTTTATGTCTATGTTTTTAATTCCAACATCCCCATTACTCTCAAGGACGCTCTCTTATAGGAATGGTGTGGCATGTTCAGGAAAACAAAATTGAAAGGGTATTTTTGGTATGTTATACACACTTTAGTTTAAGGTCACAAGATTCAAAATCTTCTTTACAATATATTAAACTTCGTGTCAGTCAAACTAAGACACATAAAATGATACGGAAGGTGTATAAGAAAATTAGAGTCTAGTGAAGCACACAAAAGTATCAAAGCAATCATACGCTTATTTTCATTCAAAACATACCCAGCTTCAACTGTTATTGACTGAGTTGGAGTGGCTTCAGATCTTGAAGAGATTATGCATGAATCACAAATTTGGTCAAATTTTCCAGCTGAAGTTGCAAAAACAGACCCTGGCCACCACAAGAAATCAAGAAAAAGATCATTTACTTGCCACTTCAAGAACATGTTACAATATTCAACTTCACATAAGAAAGCTCACCATTGCAATTCCGACAAATGATAATTTCCTTCACAGGAATCGGACCAATGAAGCTCCGAATTGTTGCTTCCAATTTCTTCAAAGAACCTTTCCTACATTCTTTGACCACATCAAGGAGGCTCTTTCCGTTTTCCAGGCAGATATACTGTGATGCACGTCTATATGCTTTACATGCATGGATCTCAAATTTGCCAGGAGGAACAACCTAAAGGAGCCAAAATTGGTATAGAACTTAATTCGTAATGGAAATGTTAAGACCCAAACAAGTACAACGTCAACAAAGAGCAAAACAGAGAAATAGAAATAACAAGTACTCACCCTGGCTCCCTTGCACAGATCACAAGAGCACAGAATTCCATTATCTTTGATAGTTCCCCTCAGTCGAATTCCCTAAATTAAGACAACTTTAGCCTTCAGAATAAGATAAAACTACTGAGACCATATTGGAGCTTTCAGTCCAAACTAGATGAGGAACAATCGATCTAGAAAAGCTAGATAAGCTTTTTGGTAAGAGAAACTGCACAACAAGCTAAATGATGTATCGTAGTGCAGCAATAAATCCATGTAACACGTTGAATGCTGATGCTGCTATAATGTTTTCAACTCATTTGTCTCCCATTCATGTTCAAGCTATAATAAGCAGAAAATTCTAAACATATATTTCATACTATATTCATATTGGATAATATAAAATGGGTCCAATTCTTTTCTCCCGTAACTACCCAGCAAGAAACAAGGTTGACCACTGGGCAACACCAAAATTTCTACACATGTGGTGTTTCCCATCCTTTCTTCTGCCAATAATGAATATGCATGTCTCTGTATGTGTCTGTAACAAGTAACAACTACTACTAAGCCTCTATCCCAAATCAACTATAACCATTCTGCTCTATCCCGACTCAAATCATTCCAAATACGAGTACAACATAGTTAGTGATCATGTATTGGCATTTTCATGCAAGAGTTAATGCATAAGAAAATGACAACAACTAAGCCTCAATATATGAATCCTCATTGACCATGTTACTTACTATAAACTCATCTCAAACCAATATTATACAAACTAAAATAAATAAACAAATAAAATAATAAAAATACTGGAAGTTATTTATATTTTCTTAAAGACTTAAAGATCGTATAAATCTAAGAAAGGCTAAACAACTCCGAGAAAAATATTTTCTCAACTATAGGTCTATAAATAAATAATCCACATTTAGGCCACAATTAAGGCAATTCTAGGAGAATAATTAATTTAAATAATCCACATTTTAAGCTAAGAAAGCATTAATTACCCTCTTGCCACCATTATAGAAAACAGGATAGCCTTCGAGCAAACCGGTCTCGAAAAGCTCCTTAACCGTAGTAGGCCTTCCTATAATCGAAATCCTCTTCTTTGATCCACAATTATTACTATCATGAACTTCACCACATGTGATCAATTTCCCCTCCTCCAACACTTCCAAATTCTCATCAAGAGGCTCCACATTCAGCTTCAAAGCCGACCTCGTAAACCTCCTACTACTACCTGTAACACTAACATCACGATTTGCTGCCGTCAACGTTGACTCCTCTTTGACTTCAATCTCCACCATCTCCGGAATTCCGGAAATACCCTCCGTTTCATCCTTATTTACAATTTTACCACCGCCTGAATTACACTTGGACGCATCACTCGGTTCTACTCCTCCTCCGCCGCCGCCGCCGTCAACATTAGCGGCTCTCTTTAACCGCTTATTCCTCCTGTATACAACGAGTCCATTCCTATCACGAGCCCTAATAGGCACAACTTCCTCGAACCGAACACCGTGAACCGAACCGTTCGATTCTGGATCACCGGTTTCGATATCAATTCCGGTTCCGGATTCGAGTTTGGACCGGGGCAACGACGGCGAATCGAATTCACTGATCATCGGTGCCGTTGAAACTGAGTTATGGATTTGTGAAAAAAGGGAGGATTTGTTAACATGAATTGGAATTTGTTCGGAAATTGGGGAAGAAGAAGAGTGAAACTAAAACTCTTTAGGGGCATTGGGTAGGGTGATTATTTGGGGGGGGGGGTTAAGGGGAGAGCGTGTGAGTGTGAAGATTATGAGAATCCATATTAATGAAGCTGAAAAAATAAACTAAAAAATTTAATGTAAAATTATTTAAATTTTAAAACGCCCATAACTAACTAGGAGTGTAGACTGCAGTACTGACTAATTACAATAAATTATTTCCGTTTGGGGAAATTTTGAAAAAGCAGTTTCGTCATTTATGTACGTTAATAAAATGCGAAAAAAAAAAAAGATACTTCTGTCATTTTTGTACTTAGGACTCATTTGATTGGTTGGCGACCTTCAACATTTGTTTCAACAATCTGCGACAAATTCAAAATTAAAAATTAGTAAATACAAAAGATATTGTCATTCATTATAGGTATAAAATCTGCAATTCTTGGACCTTTTCTGCATTTGTTTAGCACATAAAAAAATTTACCAAGCTGGGTATTGGTAATTGGATGGAATAGAAGGTTTTCCGATTAAATGGGCTGCACTTAATGTTTTTTGGCTTAATAATTTCTTGGTGGCTATGTTAAAATACATATTATGAAAAGAATTCCTCAAAAGTTTAAATATACGGAAAAGGGCCAAAAATATCCTTTTACTATGCGAAAAGGATCATATATATCATCTGTTATACTATAAGTCCACAAATGCCCCTATCGTTACAGAATTAGTACAATAATACCCATCCGCCGTTAGGGCCCTCCACCATGGCCAGTGTCATCCTACATGGCGTGATATTTTGCTAAGGTGAAAGCTACATAGAATGACACCTCAGCGCACCAATCCAATTTCACCCCTTCCTCCATTTCTTTCTCTAATACTACCTCCTCCTTCACCTAACCATTCTCTAAAGTGAATTTTTTTTTTTACTTATTTGTCAAGACTGCATTTTCCAGCTTTTTGGAAGTGAAATAAAATCACAACTTGATTCCTATTTTGCAGTACATATCAGTCTCAACCCCCCATTTTGCTTCTTCTCGTTAATATATTGTAGTAGTATCTTTTAATTTTCTTATTATTATTTTATTTAACTTTCTACTTCTCCTAATAATGTACTTAAATGGCGAGCAGGAATGAGAAAGAATGGCTTACCAAATGGTTGACTATTTATTGTTCGCCGTCAATCACGTTACTTAATTCCAATCAACTATAGAACATAAGAAACTTATGAATGATACCCATTTGCTAGTTTTTTGGATTTTTGAATTAGATGAGAATATAACTTTTTATGATGATTCCATAAAGTTGTATGATTATGCTTACTCAGTGTTAGTCCAAAGAAATAGAGTTATATATACTCTATTTGTCCTTAATGAGGTAGTTCAAAGATGAAATTCTTCTTATATAGTTATATGTTCATTAATCGTCATTAGAAGGTCTGCAAGATGGCATATCAGTTGTCAACATTCACCTTGATCCAGGTTCTATATCTAAATCAGAAATGACCCTTCTCACTTTATGTTCAATTCCTCTTGGGGTTCGTTTTTCTCATTCTTTGCTGGAAATCCAGCTTGTAAACCAAATGAGTATGCATTCTCTTCCCGGATTGAGCCCCAAATTCGATATAGCCGGTTAGGTGAAGGAGGAAAGTGGTATTGGAGGAAAAATTGGGGGAAGGAGGTAAAATTGGGTTGGTGCGCTGATGTAGCATCCTATGTGGATTCCACCTTTGCAAAATGTCAGGCCATGTGGGATACCATTGGCCATGGTGGAGGGCCCTAACGGCAAAGGGGTATTTTTATACAAATTCTATAAAGTCGGGGCAATTATGGACGAATAGTATAACGGAGGGTATAAATGATCCATTTCACATAGTAAAGGGGTATTTTTGGCCCTTTTCCATTAAATATATATAATGTTCGGCTTTTTCTTCTCAAAATTGGCTAAAAACAATTCATATTAGTATATACGGTAGAAATCGGGCTCGTCTACGACATGATAGATCGGGCTTGAAACGTGAGAGGCTGAAGATCGACCCCAAATCCCATCAGGCCAGAATTCGAGATCAGAATGTCATGTCCTCGAGAATATTGAATTTGTGATCCCATAATCAACCTGACCCCGAACAAGCTCGAGGAAGCATTGTCAGTGTAATCAACAGAAGACCGAAATAACAGAGGGCCAAAATATCCGTGACTGATCGGATATTACGGCGGAATCTCGGCTCGTATCAATAAGGGACCAGCATATTAGTGAATCAGGAGATTTTTACCTTTTATAGAGATGTACCTAATATAGAACTCCCTTACTATCACATTGGCGTTTTCTGTCCGCCGAAAAACAGCATGTTATGCGGCAGTCAAGTCTCAACTTGGCTCAGCCTTACTCCAATTTTTTTTCGCTTTCGAGGTTTAACACTTAGAATATTTTCAAGGCAACATAAATAAGTAAAGACACAAGCAGATTTACGGGGACCCTTTCCCAACCTTTTATAATAAATGAATTACAAAGAAAAACTCTTGAGTTTGGCAAGGTGCTGCCACCCTTGGCAGACACCAACTCACAAAATCGCCAACTCTTGCACAAAACTGGCCTATAAAAGCCCCTGCCTAAGGCATTTCGTGCTGCCCACTCATTTTGGCAAGGCAATGACACATAATTTGCCATGCTCAAGCCTTGACATAGACAACCTTATGCCTACATCTTTGCCTATTTCCCTCCCTAGGTACTTAGACTTGTTTTTGGGGCTGCTAACATACATATATATAGTGTAGTCAGCCCATTTTCAGTTCTCCTATTTCAGTTGACACCCCCAAATGATAGGCCATGATCACCCATGATCAAAAAAGTGCATGTCATGCTAAAACATGCCTAAAAATGTGCATAGACTTAGCCCCATTAGCAGCAACTCTTTGGACATGGCAGTTGTAACCGCCCAATTGCACAGCATGTGCACAGCACACTTGACAACCGCTCCATGTGCGCTGCATGTGCGCGTTTCTGGCCAGCTGTTGCATGCCCAAGGCTGGCATTGTGCCCAGCCTTGCCCTTTGACACTGTATCGCCCCAATGACATAGCCAGAGCTTGTCGCCCATGAATTAGCCGCACGTACGCCCGCTTCCACATCCGCTTGTTCATGTCAAGTCGCCCCTACTTGATGAAGTCTACCCTTTGCCAATGCCAAGCTGATTTTAGCATCAAATCACCAAGCCATGTTGCTATTCCCTTGCTAAGTCGTTTTCCCACAAATTCCTCAGGTGCCAGCCCGCTCACCTAAGCCAAGGCAACATCATATTGCCAATGCCACTGCCTTGACACTAAGCGCCTAGGTCTTTCCCGCTTTGCCTTGTCTAGCCCGCCTTGTTCCGTCAAGACCTTGGCCTTTGCTGCAAACAGCCGACTCGTGTTTTAGTGTAGTCTGTCACACCTTAGCCTTCCAATAGTAGTATTGTCCGTCACACTTTGCCTTGCAACAGTTTGTTGCCATTGACAATGCCCGCATTGTCTTATATGTTGATTTCCCCAGAACATAGGCCAATGGCAAGGCCATCATGCCAAATCCTTGCCACTGTCGTGCCATTTGCCGTTCAGCTTTGTCAAGGGTATAACACCTACCATATAAAGGGGGGTCTGATTACTTGTAAAGACATCGTAAAAATCATTCAGAAGCAATATAATGTTATTTTCTCCTTAAGTTCTTATTCAACCGTGTCTTGACACTGATCGAAGTGCATTTCTGTTCAAGGGTGGCTCACCCCCCATGGCTATAGCTTTTCAATTTGTATGGTTTGAATTTACTTTATCATACTTTATTTCAATTGCAATTTAATTTATCGCTTTTGTGTCAATTTAATCCACGTATCCTTAAAACCACTTATAAATTTAATTGTTATCTTATTTTGACATTTAAACAGTTTGGTGCCTACCATGGGGCTAAGGATAATAGTGGTTATTTGATACAAATTTTCCATAACACACGCTACTTTACACTTGTTCTTTGAAGTGCCTCTAATTTCAAGTTAAAGCTCAAAATGTCAATCTCACAATTGGCACCCCTACATATTGACAATGAGTCTGGTCACCACGGTAAAAATAACAACATAGCGCCCGGTAATGAGGTACCACCCATTGATCCCATCGGAATTCCAGTCACGAACCCGTTTGACGCTAACTCGATGGTTATCGACACAAACCTACCCACTGACCCCGAGAATGGCATCCGTGGTGGAACCCGATCGACAGCGCAGAATGCTTAAAACAATGGAGGAGACGAACGAATGATCTTCAAAATGTTACAAGCTCAACAGGCGACGATAGCTCAGTTACAGAACCAATGCCACGCACCGAGCAGAAATGAACCCAACCTATCCCAGGAAATCACCCGTAGGGAAGAACCGGCCGCAGAGAGGTTGAATGAAAACGAGTCGGGGACCAACCCGAGATCATAAAAATGCTTGAGGAACTGACAAAACGAATAGAATCAGGGGAAAGGAAATTGAAGCAAATGACAAAAAGGTAGAAACCTATAATTCCAGGATCGACCAAATTCCGGGAGCGCCGCCGATAGTGAAAGGCCTGGATTCCAAGAAGTTCGTACAAAACCTTTCCCTCCGAGTGCAGCTCCAAAGCCGATCCCTAAAAAATTCCGTATTCCCGATATTCCTAAGTACAACAAACGACCGACCCAAATGAGTTTGGCACTTCCTACACATGCGCCATCAAAGGGAACGACTTGGAGGATGGTGAGATCGAGTCTGTCTTGTTGAAGAAATTTGGAGAGACCTTGTCAAAGGGAGCTATGATATGGTATCATAACTTACCTCCTAATTTTATTGACTCATTTGTTATGCTTGCAGCTCTTTCTTGAAAGAACACGTCAGGGCTATTCAGGCCGAAACTAGGAAGTCAAACCTTTTCAAAGTAAGGCAAAAGGATAATGAAATGCTCATGGAGTTCGTGTCTCGATTTCAAATAGAACGGATGGATCTGCCACCGGTCGTTGATGATTGGGCCATTAAAGCTTTCACCTAAGGAGTCAATGTTCGAAGCTCCGTGGCTTCACAGCAGTTGAAGTAGAATCTG